GTAGGAGTCTGAACCAGCATCTGACGCCTCCTCTTCCAAAGGAAGTCCCTTTTGCATCCTTTGGTAATTATTTTGCCTATTGATCCCTGACCGCAATCGAGTCATGCGCTGGGATGCTTCGGCAAGTTGATCTGAGCTAGAGGGTCGTGTTGATTTCCCTCTGCCGGTCATATTAGCAGACACTTCTAGGAATTCATCCTCTTGGCGGACAGGCTTCTTCCTACGGAAACGCCTTGGCTTGGTCTCGGACGTTCCGGTGGAAATTCTCTCGAACACCGAAACTCTCCTTGGGGCTTTAGTACAGCAGCATTCTGACAGTACCGCCTTGATTATGTTGGCACACGGACAGTGAGATTCCGTGGTTTCCAAGACTTACTCGCACCCCCAGCTCTATAGTACAACTCATCAGTTTGATAACTGGAGCAACCCATAGAGTATTGGCATGACTTCCCAGGTATAACACAATCATCATCAGACGAATGTGTTTCCCTCTGGGGATATGACGCTTTATTAGCGTTTTCAAAAGTCGCTTGTTCAAGTCTACGCTTTTGCGAGCGTGAAAACTTAACGGGCTCTTGAACTTCGACCCGCAATCCAATGCGGTCGGTAACAGGGGCTTTCCCCTTGTTATCTTTCTTTGGGGGATTAGCACGACCCCCAGTCTGGTTTGTTGTTTGGGGACCTTTCAACGGTTCCAATCGCTCCTTGACAGGTGCTTTGCCTCGATTTTATGGTAAAGGGCCGAGGCGACCTCTCAAAGGAACCCTGGATCTTGAAGAATCCACGTTCTTACCTGGCTCCGCCGGAGGGGCAAGGGAAACGGGATCTGGATTTGATGAAGGTTGGACGGCAATTCCGTCCACTTTTGCCTTTGGCGCCGGTTTTGCCTTTGGCACCCACATCTGCTTGTGTTTTGACGGCTTCTTGACCGTCTCTTCTTTCTGCATCTCTTCCGCTTTCTGCAGAAGGACTCGGGCATGCGCAAGCAATGCGCAGCGTTTCTTGATTCGCTCTTCGAGGGTTGAGCGAGTCCTCTTGACACGAACCCATTCGTTCGTCTCTGTCTTGGAAGAGGAGTTGGTTGTGCGCCGTTGTTGCTCTTGGCGCTGTCTGGACTTGAGATCCTCATTGTAGCGGATCCCGTCCATCGATTCTGCGGCCTTAGCCAGTTGTCGCGCAAGGCGTTGGCGCCGTCTTTGGCGCGCCCTCTTTGACAAGGTCGGGACACCTTCAGCAGTTGACTCGATTCCGCGGCCTTGGCCAGTTGTCGTGCAAGGCGTTGGCGCCGTCTTTGGCGCGTCCTCTTTGACACAGCTGGAGCACCTTCAACACTTGTCCTTACAGCGAAGGGCAGATCTGGATCTGCAGCTTCAACCTGCTTGGATGCCGCTGGGATGTCACGGGGCACGGGTGCAGCAACGGCGACGGGATCTTGGATCTTGGAGCCGGAGGTCCCGCGAGCATTTCTGGAAGATGAAGTCTTCCTACGCCTGTTTGGAGAGGCGGATCTGGAGGAGGAGGAAGAGAGGTACTCTTCAAACTTCTGTTGATCGAACTCGTATTCGATCTCTTCGTTCACCCGGATCTTGAAGGCCGGTTGCGTCACGACGGCCTCGGCAGCGAGGCCGTTGGCTCCCACTGTGGTCGCCAGTTTGTTTTCGTCGAAAGTTGCCTTCATCATTGATTTCATTAAAACTTCAAACGTTACAAATGGATTCAAACAACAAAGAAATAATTATTACAACTTTCTTAAAAATAAACACAAGATCCGTTCGTCGTCTCTTGCTTGCGTGGGTCTTTAGCCTGTGATGGGAATGTTGATATCCGTGGACTACCTGGCAATCAGATCTGATCCAGAGCTTCGTCGATCCGCGAGAAGATCTAGAAACTTGAAGCGCCTATCTCGATAAAAGCGAGATATTTGCTCTTCTTAGTATTACCACAACGAGGGGTGTCTTGGCTTGGCCGAGACACCCTTGGGGTGTCTTGACTTGGCCGAGACACCGTAGGTGCCTCGGTTCAGCTCTGAGACGTTTTCAATGCCCGTTTGACCGTTTTCGCTGTAACTTCTTCGTCTGAACCCGGATTTGAGTGATTCCAAATGCGTTGGAAAGCCGACAAGGAGTTCTATCAGCTACAATGGTTGGATTATCTGTAGAATGAATGAGACACGAAGGGCGTTGTTCCTTTTGTAAATATCGCGGGGCTCCCGATTAGCCCGCCCCTTCGTTATTCCGGAATTCTGTCAGCTCACGTAGTTCGTCGATTCACTTCAAGCGTTCACCGACGTCAATCGAACTCCCATGAACCGGATAGTGATGTTCATCGTCATTCCTTAACACTGAGCTATTCGTAGAGACCTATAGGCAATTTTCGATGCCTACAAAGCAGAGACTAGCACACTCGAGGAGCAAGTAACGAGCCAGATTTTACTTTCTGAAGTTCCACCACCAGTTATACCAGCCGTACCTATTAGAGAGGTAATACCGACCATTTTTTACCATCACCATAATCAACTGTTGATAGAGCCGTAGAGCAAGAGGATTGACTCTGTAAAAATATAAAAAATATCAGACACTGAGAGCACCATTATTTCAGGGCACACCGAATTCTTGTGCAACCTATAAATGGAAGGAATATGTGAAAATTTCTTAACGTCGACTCAGTATCAAAACAGAAGTTAGATGTATTCAGCACAGAGGATATCATCTGAGAATAGCACTGACTTCAGTTTACGCCGAAGCAGTGAATGTTAATTTTATAGGAGGATTTCACCTACTACTTTGATAAGTAGCTAGAACTAGCCCGATTTGAGCAGGGAGACATATCAATAGTTAATTATGGAAGCATGACTGTCCAGAGACAAGGGCAAGGACAAGAAACCCTTTGCAAGGCTTAGAAGACCCTAACATCGGCGCAAGAATTTTCAACGCTAGCAACAGAGACTAGGACACGGTCAGCAACAAAACCGTGGTCAGGATCAGCAGTCGTAGGGTCACTGTTATGGTCGCCAACATATGATTGAGACACCGCCAACCGTTTCGAGAATTAAAGGGCCAGTAGGCTAGATTTGTGCCATTCAGGAGATTCCTGAGGGATAGATAGTCTCGTATTTCCACCGCCAGCAGTTTAGCAGTTGCCAACCATAGGCAAAGTCTATGTAGTCGTACCACATGATCACAGTGCGAGTGGAGGTATTGTAGAAGGTACTTTCTTAGTGAACTCTTTTCTAGCTCGGATCATGTTCGATTCTGGAGCTTCCTATTCTTTTATATCTCATGTCTTTATGGATAGGCTTTAGTTAGTCGCACATCCCTTAGATGTATCGCCATCTTTTTCTACTCCTTTAGGGGAGGTATCTCTATTAGGGAGCATCTGTAGGAGATGTTTCATCAGCTTAGATGAGTCCGAGTTTATTATAGATCTAATCGTTTTGTGGATGTCGGATTTCGACGTCATTCTTGGTATAGATTGGGTATATTATTCTACCATGTTAGCATCGACTATTTTACGAAAACAGTCAGTTTGCGAGCGTTCTATGGGTTTGAGTTGATTGTAGTGACCTCACAGGGCAACCAGTTGTGAAGTCATTTCTTGCATATATTGAGGAGGTAATGCTGAAAAATCGGATTGCTAAGTTGTGTGAAACTAGAGTCATCTTAGATTTTCAGGATGTCTTTCAGGACATACCGGGGTTACCTCCTATGTGAGAGGTTGAGTTCTACATCGAGTTGCAGCTAGGTACAACACCGATATCTCAAGCTCCCTATCGTATGGCACCTGTTAAGATGAGGGAGCTACAGAAAAAGCTGGACAAGTTGTTATCTCAGAGTTTTATTCCCCAGAGTTATTCTCCGTGAGGAGTGCCGGTCCTTTTCATGATGAAGAAGGACGGCACTATGCGTCTTTGTATAGATTATCGAGAGTTGAACAAGGTTACTATCCAGAATAGGTATATATTATCAAGGATTGATGACTCGTTCGACCAGCTACA